GGGGGGGGGGGGGGGCACACTCGAGATAAGGGCAGGATGAACCAACACTACTGCTGTTAACATGAATCCTGCACTCTTCATCTTAGACCTGCATACAGCTTGATCTTGATCAAGGACCAAAGCAGCTTATCCTCCACGGACGTCAGTCTGTCGCAACAGTGGTTGAACAATGGCGGACGGCGACATACAAGTAGCTCTCAACGCCGTACAGCGTTTGCCGAACTTTGGGCCTCAATCATACACGAGATACCCCACAAGAGAAGCAGCGTTCCGGACTAGAGTAAAGGATAGTGGAACAACACGAGTTTATTGACAAAACAAGACGACACAAGCTGATTGAAAGACCAAGACAAGGCTGCTGAATCAACCTTTACGGCGAAGAGCTACAACAAGGTCAACGTTAGTTATCGTTTCACGCCTTGCGTAGCTTCGTACCTGTACGTGCCTGTAGTAGCTGTTGCGCCTCCGCAGGTCCAGGCACACTGCCCCCACTACCAAACAGTACATCGCCAGACAATACTGAGGGGAACGGGAGGGGTGGGCGAGGGACGAGAAGCGGGTTGAGTTGATTTAGGCGAACGATCCGTCCCGTTATCCACGACCAACGGAGAGGGGCACACGTCCCAAGCTTCTATGCGGTACTGGGCAGCCATCGCATCGGCTACAGACAGCGTGCACAGCCCGTGGTCTAACACCTTGACTCTTCGCGGAGCCCTATAATACTACCGTATATGACACAAGATAACACACCCCCTTGACCAACTTTCGAAGCTCGATTTTTCAACTGCAGGAACAGTCACAGCGTCGAAAACGGCGGCGTTGAAACCGTCTCGTCGAGAGCTTTTCGAAAATGTATCGTCTCGTTTATGCATCCTCTTCGTCGTGGAGTAATCGAGCTTTGAAAATCGGTCCAAGGGGTGTGCTATCTTGTATCATATACGGTATATTATACCATACTATGCTATACTATACTACACTATACTTTACTATACCATACTATACTATGCTATACAGAAGAACGGGATCAATCCCTTGGGTTGGAATGTAGAATGGAATTGATGGTCGAGGGTCCCTACGGAACGGTGACGCCATCTTTGGCTTCCGTCTCGGCACCACCGACTGCTGTGCCTTCTGCGCGTCATCTGCTATCGTGCTATCATACGTGCCACTCTTTTCCTGTACCAATTTCGGCGTCTTGACCACATCAAGATGCCGGATTCACCTTTCGAGCCATGTTTGATTGTACAAAATGGGAATCTGACGGGAAAACAAAAGGCGGTCAAGTCATGCCAAGACATGCCAAGACATGCCAAGACATGGGTGTGACCCCGACAACCACTAAAGCAACCGAAGGATAGGATAGGCTAGGCTAGCAAGTCCAAGTCAGAGATGCAGCAGGCCAATATCACATACTCCGTATTCAGTGCCGAGAAAAAAAAATCACATTGCCCGGCACTGGTGATGTCGACACCAACATGCGTAGGGGAGACAAGACAAGGCAAAAGCAAGAAAAAGACGATCATTGAAAGCACGCTGCTACTGCCACCTTCAGCTGCCGCAGACATGGAGAGCGCTATTATAGCCTTCAAGAAGTTCAAGAAGACGAATGTTCACCTGCCAGTACGTCATAAACCAGCTTCCAGCAGCAAGACGCGCTTTGCATCGCCAACCCAGGGTGTCCATCACGGCGTCGTGCGCGCTTTCCGACAGACGAGCGACCCTCTCCATGCCGCTGCCCGCACAGTCCTCGGCGCCATCCTGCCCTCCCCCAAATACTTGCGCAGGCTCTCCCTCTAGTTCGATCAGGCCGACTACGTTGCCCGGCGGCATTCCGGCCAACAGAGAAAGCGGCCCCCTGCCATGCACAAACAAAAACAACACAATTGACCATAGCTTGTAAGTGGTCCTTGTGCCTGTCCTCTCGCAGACACAATGGATCCGATCATGACATGATCATCTTCAGCTTCTTGGGCAACGACGAGCGGACCACTGTCATACAGCGGCACTGCGAGCATGCACGGGCCACGGGCGGTACCATGATGTAAACACACAACACACCCAGCTTCTCGGCGACCTGAGAAGGTTCGGCAAAATCACCGTAAAGTCGTCATGACCGAGCTGCATGCGTCGTCATTCCGTTGTGCTGGCTCACCTGTTCTGTGCGGTGGCCGCATCCGTTAGCGTGATGAAGCTCCCGCGAGAAGACGCCCTAGGCATGATCAGACCCTTCCCTTTGCATAGCTCTTCGGCCGTCAGTGTTCTGGGGAACAAGCACCGCCCATAGGATAGGTTAGACCAAGTTACATCAGGGTTAGGATTTTTTACTTAGTTCTGTTCTCACAAAACGACGCAGAGCACAACGATGTAGGTACGTAGGTAGCTCAAGTCGGGTCTCATAAAAAAAAACGTGGCTGAGTGGGGGGTCGTGATATATGCTTGATGGATATCGTCATCATCGACCCACAAGATGAACCGGAACGTTAAGCAAGACTCGCACATTGTGTTATTCTGCATAGGGAACGGTCGGTGTTTGGGGGGGCACGTGATGTGTTTCGAAAAGGCACACATACGTACCACACACAGCATTGGGAAGCTAGCCTTGGTTCGTTGTTCTTCGTTTCTTCTCCGTGGTACGATTACATTCTTTGCGTGTTGCGTCTTTCGTGTGATTTGTTCGCTTTGTCTCTTTCCCTTGTCTGTCTCTGTCTCACCGGAGTGCTTCTACGACAGCCTTAGCCTCTTCCTCGGCTTCGGCGACTAGAACGCATGCCGCCCTGTCTTTCTTCAACGTGTACGGCAGGTTACAGTGGAGGATACGACCGGCGCCACACGTTGCGTGGGCGGGGCAGTCCGTGGCCTCCGTGCCGCTCTTGCAGACGACGTCCCCTTGCTCACTGAGGTCGGCCAAGGGGCACGTGCACGAGCGGAGCAAGAGGATGACGGTGAATGGTGTAACTTTGGGGGCAAGGTAAGGCAGGGCATCGTCCAGATGTGATCAATGTGATGCGATACTGTAGAAGGCGGAAGCCCGAGCGGCCTAAGCAAGCGGTACCATACGAGGGCATGTACAGATGGCCCACCTCGTAGCATGCCGAGCGGGCGTAGATGTACTTGTACGCAAGGCGGAATGTCAGCCGCACTTTAGGCCAATAAATCGCTACGGTGTGTTCCTGGAATCCATGTTTGCAACGCACTTCGTCTGTACCTAGACTGAAACTCGTCCCATGCGATGAAGTAATTCGGTGTAAACAGAGCATTTTAGACGGTAGCCCATACGGCGAATATTTCAGCGGGGAAAGAATGCTCCTCTATAGTAACACAACGTGACTATGTTGGAGCTACAAGTATTCTACCGGTGGCGAGAAGACGGCATACTCAAGATTAAGACTCCCTGCCTTCCGCCCCGCCTTCCGCACCTCCAGCGCGCAATTTGACCAAGCGAATGAGTTCAATGATATCAACGAGGCTTGTTCATTGTCTCCTTCAAGTCCATGTCCTTCTCCTATTTAGCGGGCGACACGGCCTTGCTATCAACCAGTCAACAACTTCTCGCCAAGTGCTACTTGTAGTATAGTCTAGACCCTTACCCCAGTTGTAGGAAGCACTTTTCTACTGGTGGTGTCTTGGCGGTAAGCCCCCGGAAAGCCCCCCACGCGCCGCCCGCCGCAACCTGCACCTGGGGCCATGCCACTAGCAAGCCCGATACGAGGAGGAGCACCATCACCATCACCACAGCACTGTGGGGTTGAGAGGAACACGGGAAGAAAGAAGCAGTGGGTCGATACACATAGGGAAACATCACAACGGAGTGAGAGTGACCCACACACACGATGCGGTAGTCAACGGCGGCAAAGCACGGCGCGGATGTATCCGCGAGATGGAAGCAGTAGGATGAACCTGTGTCAGGGGAATGAGTAAGAGTGCGCCTTCTCTTCACGCTCGTGTTGGTTCTTGAGGTTCTTGAGGTTCTTGAGCACTTCAACAGCGAGACAACGAAAATGATGGACGTAGCGCAACCTTGTGCTCACCATTTGAAAGCCCACTCTGGACCCTTGCCCCGCCTCGGTCTCGCATCATCACCATTACCATCACCGTCACCAGCAGCAGCCGCCGCTGGCGCCGGCTGCGGCACCGAATCCACCTTACTCTTGTCGTTCGGTCCAACTAATCCAACTAAGGACCGTGTCCCTTTCCTGTCTGGTGCTTTTCCCTCAGCGCCTGCCGTACCCACTTTATCCCACCCAGCGCGCTCGCGGTTCAAGAAACTCGGCCCCCGCCGAGCTTGGCCACGCGCGTTCGGCCCTCCGAGATTGTCCGAGTTGAGGCTTGGACCATTGGAGGCGGGGGCTGCGGCAGCCGAATCCGTGAGCGTGCCCTCGGTCCCGTGAGCGTGCCGGAGAAAGCTAAATTTCCGGCTGGGTGTGTGCGTTTTTCCTTCCAGGCGACGGCCTGTCGCCCTCTTGGTAGCTGTAGCTGTAGGTGTACCTGGCGGAGGAGCCGGTGGGCTACCGTTCGACATCGGTTGTGCTGGCCGCGTTCCTGATCCTGACCCTGGCCACGAGGTCGAAGGGGGTGCTTTTGTTTCCGAAATGGTTTCCGACATGGGCGGAGGCAGCGAAGGCTTCAGAGTCCCTCCATTGCGGGAGGGGGGAGGCCGTTTGGCGGGGGGTTTTCGGACTGATGGGCTTGGCGTGTCGTCGCCAAGGTCGGAAGTTTCCATGGCATCGCTGCCGTTGTCATCCTCATCCTCGCCAGACGTCCCCTCGCCTGATGTGCGTTTTTTGCTTTGCCTAAGTTTTTTGCTTTGCCTAACTTCGGCCCACTTCGCCGCCATCTTCCTGCTTGACTTCCGTACTTCCGCTTTATTGGTCTTGGCGGGTGTTGCCGGAGTCCGTGGCTGTGAGTGCACAATCGCCACCGTAAATAGACACGAGGTGGGCGGAGGACCATTTGATCAACAACAACGTGTGACGTCATGGCGATTGGAGAAACGATCACGGGATTTTTGAGACTTCAGCAGGCCAAACGTTGACAGACAGACGTTTACATGTTAATGCCCCCGGAAAAGAAAACCTGCGAATTTGCCTCACCGCGAAGGATACGGGGACTACCAGTAGCAGCACACTGGTGAGACTCGAAATGGTCGGTCTTAGGGTATTAGTGTATTAGTACATGCCATATCGTGGTTCCAGTGGATATTTGTAAGCGTCTTGAAAGGAAACTAGCGTAAGCACGATCACTGCAACTTGGGTGTTTGGTCTTTTCAGAAGCTTGTCGGGGAATTGTCATACACCATTCAAGTCCAAAAATTTGCGGCAATTGCCACACGAGGATCAAGATGTTGCGATGAACAAAAGTTGTACATTAAGTGGTAACGTTTAGTATACCACACCTCTGAAGGCTCAGCCCCGATATTTGATGTTGGTACAAAACTAATTTTCCTCACTTGGCGATGTTGAATTCAACTAAACTGCCAGCAGGACCCACGAGCACGGTAGGTACTGCTGTAAGGTGTTGGTGCTTAATACTGGAAAATACTGGGTGCGGCTGCTCACGGGGCATGCAAATGGTGCATACAATGCGTAAAAATGCGTAAGGCACTTTGCCCTACCTTTTTGCTGCTGGGTGGTGACGTTGATCCAGCCCCACCAGCAGGTTTCCTTACAAGGGGCGAGGAGGGCGACGCGGGAAGCACAGAGCAAAGAAAAACAAAGGGGGAGGTCGAGCGTGTTGAAGTGAAACCGGCAGTAGTCTACGCAGCAAAATTGATTAAGCAAACATATGGGATAAAGTATTCAATCCGTGCTTTGGGGTTAGGTCTAGGGTGAGGGATAGGGTCTGCTTGCCCCCTCCCTGTTCTTTCCGGAAGTACAGGGCTAGCCACATGCTCGACATCTTGACAGGCCGGAGAACATGTAGTCTACTCTGTCTTGATTTGAGTCATTCTACATGTACATTCAACACTTCCCTGTTACTCCAATAATGCGAAGCGAATAGGAATTTGGTCGACAGCTACAATTGTGGTGCCGCTCCAAACCATCGATTGACTCGATTGACTCGATTGACTCGATTGACTCGCTGATAGAATAGAGCAACAGCATTACCCCCTCTGTACAAAACCAGAGGCAACCCCCCAAAGCCACAAAGCCATGGCAAAGAGAGACGAAACGATGGTCTAAGACGTGTATTTAGGCATATCTATGGTAGTACTCTCCCCGGCCTGCCCCCCCCGTCCCTGGGGTAGGCCGAGCTTCCGCAAGTGGAACTAGACCTCGAAAGACCACCCAGCAAAGACGGATATACGGTCCCTAGCACTGTTTAGAGGGGGGTCCTGAGTTTGGCGATTGGGGATTACTGCTGTCGTGAGATCGGGGTAGCTCCTGAGCCGCCAGCTTTGGTGGCTGCAAAATGAGACTGGATCCTGATGCCCCGGCTTGGACACCGGGGCTATGCAGCAGCAGAGAGCACGGTGAGGGCGGCGGAGTGGCCGCACGCCGTGGGGGTAGACTATGCCCCAGAGAGAGGAAAGGAGGGAGTCCAGAGATGGAGGGCCACACCGCTTCGGGACAAGAAGACAACTCTACGGGAAACAAGACAAGAACCGGGATAACTATCACGTTAGCCCGAGTGTTTGCAAGAAAATAGTAAAAAACAAAAAAAGGGGGGAACATGGAGGAAAAGGAGGGGTCGGGCGGCGCGTAGGCTAGCTACGAGAGCAACGCGCGCCGCGCGAAAGAGACAGCAGGGTCAACTTCTTAGGTTAGCAACCTGGAATGTGCGGACTTTGGCTGGAAACGGGGCCAATGGATACGGGCAAGCTTACAGCGTTCTACACGAGGCAGCGAGANGTCAACTTCTTAGGGTAGCAACCTGGAATGTGCGGACTCTGGCTGTAAACGGGGCCAATGGATACGGGCAAGCTTACAGCGTTCTACACGAGGCAGCGAGACAAGACGTATCGGTGGTAGGAATGCAGGAGACACGGAGGGCAGGTCGAACGGAATTTGAAGCAGCGGGTTTCCGGGTGTTCTGCTGTGGCACGGAGACTGGTGGAGTCCATGGTGTGGGGATAGCCGTCAAAGAGTCACTGTGCAAGACATCCACGTTCACTGCGGAGTTTATCGACGAACGCCTTATGGCCATGAGTTTCTGTTGGCAGGCCACCGTGGAGCGGTCAAATTCGTAGCCGCGTATGCTCCAACCGAACCTTCAACCGCCGACAGCAAGCGCGTGTTCTGGGGAAAACTTGACAGTCTCGTGCGGAGGATCCCTTCCAAAGAATGTGTGTATGTCCCACTCGACGCCAACGCGCGGAAGGGAGATAGGATGGACGGAGGGGACGGAAGGGTAATAGGAATGTACGGGCGTGATGAGCTCAACGACAACGGCATGCTACTGTTGAACTTCGCAACGGAAAACAGGCTAGCTCTCACGAAAACGTTCGTTGAGACACGCAAGGGCGGAATATGGCACACATATAACGTTGTGTCGGGAAACGATTGCAAGCGCCTTGACTACATCCCGCCAAGGCAGGCACATCACGGCCGAGTATCTAACGTGGTCGTCATCCCCCAGCCGGTTCGCCCAGTCAAAGCAGACTCAGACCACAATATGGTAGTAGCCACCGTCAACCTCGGTGGCAGGCTTGCCCACAACCGTGCAGTCCGGACTAAACCGAAACAGAAGCAATTCAACCGACGGGAATCGCAGTTCGAAGCAGCACGGTGTGCGGTGACTAATCGGTTCCTCCTCAACCTCGACACACGACTGGACGAGCGAACAACCACCGCCGCGGAATTGGTGACCGACGTTACCAATGCTCTCCTCGACGCGGCGCGGACGACCCTAGGGGAGGGACCGCGGAGACGCCGCACGCTGGAGTGGTGTGAGACCCAAGAGACGCGAGCAGCGCTGGAGCAGGCCCTTACCAAACGTTGGGAGGCGCGCCGGGCGATGAGGGGCAACTGGAACTCAGCGACGTGGAGGGTTCTGAAAGCAGCGTGTAAGGGAGTGGCTACAGCAGTCGAAACGGGCATTTATGCCCACCTGGACGGATATGTGACTGACCTCGAAGAAACCTACAAAGATCGCGACATGCGAGGACTGTACCAACACCTCAAGAGATCAGTGGGCCTCAGCGGAAGACAAGCGGGGGGACAGCAGTTCGTCGCGGATGAGAACGGCGTGTTGCTCCAGAACAGGGACGACATACTCCAGCGGTGGGCGAGATTCTTCAGCATCCTACTCAACACCAAATCCCCCACCCTGAACCCACACATAATCGAACGAGTGACGCAGCGGCCAGCGACACGTGACACTCAACAGTCGGGGGATGTGCCAGAACTCGNCCCCCCCCGCCTCTACCGCTGACCATCGAAGCCGCGGGGCAGAAATACGGCCAGAAGACCGAGTTCCGGTACTTTGGTGGCCTCGTCAACGAACATGGCGACCTCACCCGAGAGATCACCTACAGGAGCAGAGGANCTCAAGAACTGGAAGGCACCCGGCCATGACTCCTTCCCTGCCGAGTTGCTCAAGATCGATGACGACGAACTCTTCGTCCTGGGACACCTCCATACCATCCTCGTCAAGGTGTGGAACGGAGGAGATATCCCGCGAGAGTGGAAGGAGGAAGGATGCAACCATTAAGGTGTTGTACAAGAAGGGTGACCGGTCCAATTGTAACAACGACAGGGGGAGTTCGCTACTATCTCATGTAGGCAAGGTCCCCATCAGNTCAGCGGCCACTGTCAGATCCTGCGGTCGATACACCACCGACTGCTCCTCCGAGTCATCGGGTACAAGCGCAAGAAAGACACCTCCAGGCAGCTCTCTTACGCCCAGACGCTGAAGAGGGTCGAATGCTAGAGCGTTGAAGCCACGATCCGACAACGACGCCTGCTACTCGCGGGAGCATTGGCAAGGCAGCCGGACGGGCGACTCCCGAAACGACTGATGCTCGGC